TATAGACCACTAGCAGAATTGTAAAATAAAAAAATCAATTCGCCAGCTGACTGTCAAGTCTTAAGTACTAAAGTTAAAAAAAAAAAAAAAAAAGTTTTAGAATTTTTTTTTTTTTTTTAACAAGACTGGCGAATTTTTAAGTTGTCCTACTGTATGTCGATTTGGTCAGAAAGTTCAATTTGTCATGTACTACTGTCGTAAACTATGGAGGTCATGTGCAGGGCACGGCGCAGTTGAACAGTTGGCCACTTATTAAAATGTATTAAGAGCATCTGGATGGTGAATAAAGGGGAGGATCAAAGTGGTGGCTGGTGACTGAATATATTGCACTTCCCCTCTCCCGCTCCTAATGAGCAGATATGAAATAATCATTCCCTCTCATGTTGGAGAAAGTGAGCCGTCACGTAGATTGACCTCGACAGTGACGAGATAAGAAGCTTCGCTTGTACACAACCCGCTCAATATTGGATGAGCTGCCTTTCCGAAAGGGAATCGAGCATTTCATGCTACGCTGCACCCTCCTCATCAGACCATTATGGAAATATGCAAATAAACTCCCCACGAACATGCGCGTTTGTAATTGATGTATTTTAGAGGGAGCAAACAATGGCTTCATTGTGTCGTTTGGGAGCTTTCCCAGACTCTAAAATAGCAACGCATGCGGCAGGTAAAAGTTGCTAAGAATTTAGATTTGGTAGTTGTATTTGAAAATTTAGCCCCCCCGAAAGCCTGTTTCACTTAGCAACATGAAATTTGGTTGACATCTCTATGATGGTTAACTTTACAAAAAAAAAAAAGTCTCAAGAAACACTGCCTGATATGTAACAGGAAGTTTGAAGCAGCCAGTTTCAAGTGAACTAGGTCATTTCCAAAATTGACTTGGGAGCATTCTTCGGAATTATTTGAGGATTCAGCCCGTGAAGCCTGTTTTATTTACCATCATGAATTTTGGTTGACAAGTGTAGCTACAAAAAAAAAAAAAAAGTCTCAAGAAAACATGCCCGAAAGGAAACAGGAAGTCGGCCATATTGGTTTGAAGCAGCCAGTCACTTCCCCTCTCCCGCTCCTAATGAGCAGATATGAAATAATCATTCCCTCTCATGTTGGAGAAAGTGAGCCGTCACGTAGATTGACCTCGACAGTGACGAGATAAGAAGCTTCGCTTGTACACAACCCGCTCAATATTGGATGAGCTGCCTTTCCGAAAGGGAATCGAGCATTTCATGCTACGCTGCACCCTCCTCATCAGACCATTATGGAAATATGCAAATAAACTCCCCACGAACATGCGCGTTTGTAATTGATGTATTTTAGAGGGAGCAAACAATGGCTTCATTGTGTCGTTTGGGAGCTTTCCCAGACTCTAAAATAGCAACGCATGCGGCAGGTAAAAGTTGCTAAGAATTTAGATTTGGTAGTTGTATTTGAAAATTTAGCCCCCCCGAAAGCCTGTTTCACTTAGCAACATGAAATTTGGTTGACATCTCTATGATGGTTAACTTTACAAAAAAAAAAAAGTCTCAAGAAACACTGCCTGATATGTAACAGGAAGTTTGAAGCAGCCAGTTTCAAGTGAACTAGGTCATTTCCAAAATTGACTTGGGAGCATTCTTCGGAATTATTTGAGGATTCAGCCCGTGAAGCCTGTTTTATTTACCATCATGAATTTTGGTTGACAAGTGTAGCTACAAAAAAAAAAAAAAGTCTCAAGAAAACATGCCCGAAAGGAAACAGGAAGTCGGCCATATTGGTTTGAAGCAGCCAGTTTAACAGCCAAGTGGCACTTGGTAGCATCCCTCAGGAATGATTTGAAAATTCATTCCTGTTTTATTCAGCATCATGAAATTTGGTAAATCTGTCAACCATGAGTGGACCTCCAAAAAAAGTCTCAGGAAACTATGCCCAAAAACAAGAAGTTAGCCATATTGATTTGAAGCAGGGAGTTCCGATTAAGTGGGACATTTCCAAAATTGACTTGGGATCGATGGACTTTTTATGCAAGTGAAGTTTGATAAGTCACACATAAAACACAAAACACTAAAAACTAAGTGCCACTATTTCCAATTTCCTTCACACTATAAATACTCGCATTCAGTCCTCCATTGGATGCACCTTTCAAATTTTCCACTCGGGTGTGGGAGTGCAAGCGCCCATTCATCACTGCCCACCTTGTTTCTTTACTCATAAGCCAGAAGCAATCATCACTGCTTCGTCATGAAACGTCCACAGTGTTTTGTGGTGAGATTCAAGTCGTCACCCACTTGGCAGTAGGTGCTGTTTGTTTGCTATTTATGAATCACGGCGAGGCAGAAGGTCGAGTTTCGGTCAGGTGTCTGATGGGGGTGGAGGGGGGGGGGACGAAGACCCTCGAGGTGGGCGACAAAGCCCGAGTGAGTCATATGATCCGCTTCTTTGGCCTTCGCAGACACTCACCAAAGAGGATTGGGAACAAAAGCTGAGTGCATTCTTTCTGCAGAGGCATGAGCGCCAGCAATTCCTTTCAAGAAGACTTTTCATGCTACAATCGGTTGGTGCCGCGTGTACCATAAAACTCTCAATAGTAAGTCCATCTTGAATGGAACTATTTGATTCAAAGAAGGGAGTTGGGGTGGGGGGTGTCATAACTTCATTTTAACCCTTTCAGGGACAGCGGTTACTACAGTGGATAGCCTATCATGCTATCTGGTTACAGGTTATCATTATTGGTGCCCTTTTATGAACTGGCTCCTCTCTGTTTGCAGCCATGTTGTTAGTGTAAGCATTGCACATCAGTGAGGATGCACTTTGAATAATGGAATTTAGAAATAATAGTCATTTAGAAAAAAAAACACTCAATTGCCTAGTCATAGTCCCCCTTTGTCGTAAAAAAAAAAAAAAAAAAAGCATAAATAACAAAAGGATCCAGGCGGATTTTTGAGATGCTAAAGGATTTATTTTTCTTAGACCCTTTCTAATCGTCTCCAGCTCGAAATGGAGGGGAAAAAAAATGCAACGCCCACCGCGACATGATGGAGTCGACTTTTAGAGGCGGGCCCGTTGGGGATGCGGCACATTTGCACGTTGCTCATTTCAGCTGGAAATCATATTAGCCTTGGCGGGCTTGAAATGAAGCATGGAGAACATTTAAAGGGGAACAGCTCGGAGGAAAGAGGCGCAAAAGGAAGCCAGTGACTGACGGACGCATGCAACGGCAAAGGATCAAACGGACGACACTTGAAGGCATCGGATGAAAGTGCACAAGAGAGGCGTCAGTCACGTCCTTGGCCGAGACGCGGGAAATGAAAATGTTCACGGAGGAGGGGGGCGGGGTCACTGAGAGTTCACCATTCTGAACATCAAACCGGTCAAGGTGATGCTCTGATCCAATGGGATCAATCAATTTACCGTCTACGTATTGTGCAGTTCATTTTCGGGCCGGTTGATGAATTCATACATTGAATTTGATTTGATTTGAATTTTCTCCACAGCTTGTGTAGTTCAAAGCACGTCACTGCTGATGTGCACTACTTACACTGATAACATGGCCTCAAGAGTGAGTGGTTCCAAATTGACGACTTGGTCACTCTCGGGACTTACTGACCCCTTTAGCATCTATCGATCAATCGACGTAATCTATCTATATCTTCACTAAAAGAAAGTTATATGTGGGGTACGACACCATTCAAGAATGGCACATTTTCAAGTGGAATGGTTCAGACAAATTACGATTCGATTTGATATGGTTCAGCTGTAGCTTCTTGTCGTGTTTATTACAATGTAACAGTATGTACAACCTTACCGAAGCCCAAACTTCCCAAATTAATTAAATAAAAAAGCAAAAGAATAAACAAGAAATCACTGGATTGATATTGATCTATATCTGGTGTGCGGCACTCATAAAAGATCGTTTGATAGCATCTCGGACCGTAAGTGTCCCTCTAGTGGCATTTGTTATGTAGAGTTCAGTTGTTTTTAACTTAAAAATAAAATACGTTTACATTTCATCTTTTAGGTCTTTTCCAAAAGTATTTCCATGTGTAATAAAGTGGACTTTTAAATTTCCCCTTTTTTTCTTAAAGTGCCATGTTCGTTTTCAAACTGTGAAAAATGTGACAGCGGCTTGGAATATGAGATACACTACACGACTGTGTTTTAATAACGTGGATGAATGAGGGACTTTTTGTTTTAAGTATAATTGACGTGGTAATTGGCATAAAAACTTCAAGAATCACCGACCTAACTGCGTGTTGTGGCAGGTGGGTCTTTTGAGGGCTTTCTCAGACTCCACCTTGGTGGAAATCATCCCCTATAATCTTCAAACACATGACTTCATCGTCGGTACGTCTCCACTTTCGGCAGGTGGCGTCTATTGTGGTCAGGGGGGCCTGGGGGGGGGGGCGCTCATATTGAGTTTCCAGGCTTGTGAGGCGGCCAGATGTAACAGACGGGGATCACACCTACCGGCAAGTTCAAGGCAGTCACCATGACCTTGACCAGACACGCCTGGAGCCCGCCCCCCCAAAAAAAAATCAATATTGAATAAACGCACATGATTTTTTTTTTAATTAAAACGAATTACAAACTAACCGCTTGATATGAACTGGTAGAATTTTATAACGTTACTAGTAGGACTAATAGCACACAGTTGTCTGTTTTTTTGCACAATTTTTCCAGTTTAGGCCAACTTTTACCAGTTAAAACGTATTAGAAAAGTACTAGTAACAGTACTTAGCCCGACGAGTATGTGTCATTAACTAATAGCCTTGTGTCCCTACTTATAGCATCAAAATGCCCACGAGATGTTTTGCCTCGCTCGTATTCGTAAATACGTCGTTCGTCAAGGGTGCACATGAACGTATCGTGAAATCCCATCGTTGAGTGTTATTTTGTAGCAGCGACCCCTAACGGAGCTTTGGGTATTACACTCAAACGAGCTTTAACTCCGTAACCCCGCCCCCCACACATCTTGTGAGCGGGCGACCGGGGTCTTCATACCGAGCAGCCTCAGCCTGAGCTTTTTTTTTTTTTTTTTTTTGGCGGACCTTTTTCACCGTGTCCTCGCTATCTTAAGGAGAACCGCCGCCGGTGGCGGGGACACTTTCTTGGGGGAAACTAAGCCAACGGAACTCGCTGAAAGAAAGACAAGAAAAAAGTACGACGAAGTATCGTGGTCACCGAGGAAATGATTGTGCGGAGCTTCAAGACTTCTTGAGGTGGGTCGAAGAGTCGCAGTTCCTAACGAAATATTGACTTGAGGTGTAGTTAACGCTGATGTTTGGTACTGTTGCCCAAATAGTTTGCTTGGAGTTCACGACAGTGATGCGTGCTTATTTAAAGGTTCGCAAACTCAGGGTTGAGGACCCAAAATGGCCCATGGGGCAGTTTGTGTGTGTGTCTGCTTGTGTATGTTTTAGTCCCTTTGGCGCTTTATTATTTTTTTTGTATTTAAGATTTTAAAATGTTTTGGTTCAATTGGTTGGCAGCTTAATAGTTTGAGTTAAGCAGGGTATACACATGTTCAACTTTTTTTTTTATTATTATTAATTGACATGTTGGGGATTTTTGACCCAAGGTGGAAATATTTTGCAAAGGTCGCCTTGTCTATCTATACAACTCAACATTCGAAAATCACATTAGAAAATATGTTCATGTTAATTTATGAAGTCTATTCTTCAAAAGCAAGACAGAGGCTCCGCTCCAGACTGGCCCTAAATGGTGGCATTTTGCTCTTAAAATTTAAGACAATGCGAGGAAAATTTTCATCGCCTGTACTAGTGCATGTACGACCACTACATTTGTAGATTTATCTTCAGTTTGGTTTTTTTTTTTGTTTGAACAATTACTGTTCTAGAATATGATGCAGACGACTGGTTAGCACATGTACCTCTCAGTACAGAAGTCATGTTCCCCAGCCTTCCTGTGTCGAGTTTACATGTTCTCCCCCCGTGCCTGTGTGGATTTTCTCATTGGTACTTCGGTTTCCTCCCACATTCCAAAAACACGCACGGTAGGTGATCAATCTAAATTGTGAGTGCGTAAATTGTAAGTGTGGATGGTTGCTGACATCAGAGAATCCGCTCATTGTTCACTTTCTTCTGAAGGATGGGAAAACTACTCAAATTTGTCCCAAATATTGTTTGTGTGCGCGCGCACACGCTCCACTTCATCTGAGTGGTTTGCCGTCAATCTGACATGAAATCTGTGACCAACCCACATTTTTTTTTTCTGCGTTGTGTTTTTAATTAAGCGCTCAGTGTGTGTGTAACTAGAGACTATTACCTCCGCTTGCTATGTGCAGCTGTTGGTGTACACACACATATCCACCCATTCACGCACACACACGTTGCGACTGTGACTCCTGATCCCCCCCAGCTGTTTTCTGTTCTTATCAAAGCCAGGAGCACTAATGAAGAGGTTGAAGGTCACCGAAGATGCTGTGGAGAACCGTTTTGTTTTTTCTGATCCATGGCCGGTCTTACTTTCAAATATGGATTACTTTCGAGTCCATTTCAGTCTTAAGGCAAATGTGACACGTGCTTAAACTTCTCATCCCGATAGCATTACATCACCTCTCCGTGGGAATGCTCAAGTATCACTCTGCCTCACTACCAGCAGATGCTCTATCATCCTTGGCCTGTCAGGTGGGGGCAAGGGAGAGAGGGAGACGCCACGGTGGCACATGAGAGGGGGGATTTGCGGGTGCTGGCAGGAGGTGATAAGCAAGCTCAGGGTTGCAGCATATTAAGAAGAAGGAAGGCGGGCAGGTAGGGGGAAGGCGTGATGCTTGAAGAAGCCGAGTGGGAGCGACACCACGGTCACGGTCCAGTCGGTGTGAGCGTCGTAACTTATGGCAGAGTCGTGAAAGTGTCGCCGTTGCTTGTGGTGTTGTTACCCTGGCACCGTTCGACTCCCTATTGGAGCATTTCCCTTGCCAAAGTTGGATAATGGGAGTCCTCGATGGGGGCGATATTAGCAGTTTTTAAAATCGTGATTAAAAAAAAAAAAAAGTCTTTTTTTAAAATTTTTTTTTAGTTGTATATTTATTACAAAATAACACAGCACAACTAGTCGTGTTCCAATCAGGGTTTAATGCTGATACCGATCCGATACCGATCATCAATGAGTGAGATCTGCTGATACCGATTCCTATACCGATCACATGGATTTAGTGGCCCATTTTTCAATTTTAGAGCCACTCACTCGTGATTATTTTAATTGGAAAAAATAGGAAATCACAATCTTCAGGCCTCACATTGGGCACAGATGACGCATGGAATTGAATGAGGCTGTGCAGGTGAACTCGGTGTTGTGTCGGCTGGGCGCACGCACGACGGGAGCCAAATTCACAGCTGATGCAAAACCATCACCGCTTCCTCTCAAGTCGGGTGGCGCCATCTGTTCAGGACCCCGCGGCAGCTTTTGCATAATGCGCTCATTAGCTGAACGAAACACGGACGCTTGTCGGCGCTTTCGGGAGCGGCGGCCGTTACATAACGAGTAGTAAAACATGGCGGCCATCGCGCACATGCAACCGCCCCAAACTGAAGTATATATATATATTTTTTTCCATTTCACATCTCTTGCATATGTGCCCTGTGATTGGCTGGTGACCAGTTCGGGTTTTAGCCCACCTCTTGTCCAAGTTGGCGCCAGCTGACCGTCTACCCTTGAGAGGATAAGCAGTATGGATGGATGGATTTTCCGCACATTTCCAACCATATTCACTTGAATTTTTGCAACATGCCTCTAACGTTGTTGGACATCACTCCTATCTGTGGACGAGTAAATAAACTCCCCGCGGGCGATTAGCCGAAATGTTATTTTCATGAAGTAACATCGATGGTGAATGCCAGGAAACTCCACCTCACACCGGGCTTAGTTTGTGCTCATTATGACAAACACCAAGACGATTTCACGCGAAACAAAGCGCGTGTATCACGATTGGGACGGCACAATGAGCTTCATTATTTCGATTCGCCGTGTGTTTGCGCAAAGTTTTGTTGGCGACGATCGCGGTTCCAGTTATGCTGCTCCTTAAGTCCGCCTCAGCTGTCATGCGTCGAGCATCACGTCATCATGGACAGCTGTCAGAACATTTTACAGAGAGGCTCTCTGTGTCACACACACACACACGCGCGCACACACACACACATATGCCCCTACACCGATACAACAAATGTAAACTGTCATTTGTTGCCGCCTGCTTTTGGGGGTAACATCTTCCTGCTTTTTGTGGGTTTGTTCCACACTCCCAAATTCTTTGTCTTAATTTTCTCCATATGCATTTCTGGTTCACAGCGTCACTAAAGCAAAATCAGGTCATTTTAGAAGCCCCTCTAATATATTGTTAAAGGCAGAATGAATTCTTTTTGACACTGTTTGGTTTGTGCGAGAGCAGGTTTACAGCTTGTGTTTATCGCCTGGCATAAATCACTCGTAAGCGCCCGTTGTTTTACCGACGGTTGAGTTGACGACGCTTCATTAGCTGTTTTTGTCTTTTCGAGGCAGGACAAATAGTGCTGATTAAAACGGCATACGTTGAATTTTAAACACTGAGGCGAGATCAAAGACGAAAATGGCGTCGGACAGTTCTGTTTTCTATTCATTGCCACGTCCACCTTTTTTGTGCTTTTCGACGGCTTTTTAATCGGCACAAGCCCTCTGAAGCGGCTTCGGCGGGGTTGTGCTCATCCACCTCATTAAATATTTAAGGCCATACGAGGATGTTAAATCACTGATTTGTGTTGTCTCGGAACGACCGCGCTAGCGACTTCACATTTAGCGTTGCTGCGCTGGAAAATGTTGTTGCCAAGCAATAAGGAAAAAAAAAAAAAGATGGCAGATGAAAAATCATGTGGTGGACCATTTTTATGAACCAAATTCCATTTTGCGTCTCTTTGCTTCACTCAAAGCCAGATGGAATGATACTGAATTTCCAAGGCTCGATAAGATTTATTGTCCCTAATGGCGAACAAAAAATGGCTTCAACTTCGAGGTGTGGCTGTACAAACTGTTCATGGTCAACTTGTGTCATGGTCACGACGTCTTGTAACTAGCGTCCCTCTTTTACAGACTTGGAAGCATAAGATAAATAATTCAAGGCCGTACTGCCTGTCTGTTGTCCAACTTGTGTGGAACCTTGACGATGTTCTGTTCCCCGAGTGATGACGTAACCGGAATTTTTACACGTCATAACGCACCAGTGTCAATCGCGAACAGAGACGAATGTGTGTCGTTAATAGGTGCAGTTGATATTTATTTAATATTTACATTTTTTTTCTTAAATATTTTACTAAACTATCAAATAAACGGGAGCCCAATGAAATATGAAATTAGATATGAACAAAAATGTATGGTGAGAAAAGTAAAATGTCTCCTGTGTTTGTGTTTCGCGTTGTTCGCATTAAGCTAGCACACCTTCTGACAAAATAGTGTGTTTTAGTTGAATATTTTGGTGTTTAAATATGCGATGTTTTATTCCCGTTTATTTTGTCGTCGTGAACTTCAAATGGGAGTGACAAATAAAGAGCTTGAAGCACTTTAGCTTGAAGCAAATCGAACGTATCCTTGTACGTCTTTTCATTGTCACTTGGCAGTTGGAAAATGAAAACGTGACTCTTAATTATGATTTTTTTTAATCTAATGCAAAGATGGCATCTTTTTTTTCATATCGGGGGGAAAAAATTAATATCAAAAAATAAATCAGCCAATTTATAATGTTATATTTTAAACCAGCTAACAATAATGAGTCATCTTACAGTTTTGAGTTGACACTTGAAAATGGAACAAATTTTAGACAGTCATACGATACTATCGCAGCTTGTTCATAACTTGGAAATGACGTCGGAAAGCCTGCAAACCAAAGACCCCCTATACTGAAAGTGTCTCATGAGCCAAAGTAGATCAATTGGAATCCGATAGTGGCAAGCTCTGAAAGCCTCTATAGCGTGTAAGCAAAGCTGGAATCGTTCGCCGAGCGTGTAATGGACACGAGTGGCCGTGCCGCACATCACCCGGGGAAAGCGGCGGTGCCGACGTCTGCCGACTGCTCCCGAGCATCCATCATTAGCGGGGCCAGTCAAACCGTTTTTGCTCGACACGGCCAGCCGCCGCCTTTGCTGAAATGGCATCTCGGCCGTCCCCTTCATCCGTCTTTTTCCGTCCTACCCTTCCACTTTGTTCCTGCATGGAGGGCGCTCAAGCTGTCTCGTAT